ATTGCTTGCAAAAAACATGTCCTGCTGGTTTACTACTGATATTTAAGACATCAAACTGGTTCCTTTATCTTCCCAGCTAGTGAACTCAGAATTCCAAGGAGGAATCCACTTGTCCCAAACTAAAAGCACAGGGGAAATGTCTCAACAAGTGTTTCAACAGGGAGGCAAGATGGGGGTTGGGAGGACTGAAGTCCGATGGTTGCAGTGTAAGCAGGGTCTACTCAGAGTCCGCCAAGGCAACTTAAGGCAGTCATGACTGGCCAGCTTAAAGTGACTTGTTTCCCCAGCAAGACCAGCAGCCTTATATACATTCATATTTCATGTGTATGGGCAGAGTGCAAAAACTTTACACCTAAAAATGTGCTTCAAAATACAGTAATGAAATACTAATATGTTTTGGAATATATTCACATCTTTGCTAGACTGAGAAAGATTATTCATCCAGTGGACTATATCATTTATTAATGCCTACTAAGGGGAAACCTTGGGATAGGCTTTAGGGGTTCATGAATAAAGGATGGTTAAAACAAGTGAGTATACCACCTTTCATGGACTTGCCTGCTGATACTACTTTATGTATTCCAGACAGATCAAAATCTCTTTCTTGAACCCTTCTAAACGTACCTGTTGGCTCAGTCTAGAGGTATGGAGAAACAGCTTTTCCAAAATTCATTCACCCACATGAGGACATGGTGACTGGGGAGAGAAGCCGATTTCTGCCACTACAACCCTGCTCTTCTGAGTGGAGGGGGCTGTCATGGGAGGGCGCCTTTGTATTCATGGGCGCCCCAAGGGTCTTGCACCACTAACACTCCCAACTTCATACGATGTATTTATTTATTATTTTAAAAAATACATTTTATTGATTTTTTTTTACAGAGAGGAAGGGGAGAGATAATTAGAAACATCGCTGAGAGAGAAACACTGATCAGCTGCCCCCTGTATACCCCCTACTGGGGATGTGCCCGCAACCTAGGTACATGCTCTTGACCGGAATCGAACCCGGGACCCTTGAGTCCGCAGGCCAACGCTCTATCCACTGAGCAAAACCGGTTTTGGCCTAACTTCATACAATTTAGAGAAGATAACTTTACTTTTAATGGAAAGCTTTCTCAGGATGATTCTTTTTTTTTTTTTTTTTTATGTGCCTCAGGCATGCAACAGCTCCGGCTACCCACACACAAAGGCATCAAGCTAGGATGAATGAAGGACTGCATGTCTGCTTTGCCCTTGACCAATATAAGAGCAACACAGTCAATCAGGTGTCTCCTTGTCCATTTGGAATAGGTTTAGAAGAACTCTATTCCCATTACGCATTTTTTTTTCAGTTGGTTTATTCATCTTTGTATAAGTATATATATACACCACCTGGGAAGAGAGTAAGTGTGCTATTGTATACTTTTCACAAAGGTAGCCTTCCTCCACACAAAAACCCTCAGAGTACAACGAAAGGAAGGCAATAACAAGTTTGAAGGATCTATCTTAATTGCGTGTGCAAATGTCTTCCTCTTAATAGAACTATAATCCACACACACAAGAATCTGGTGTGAAGATTAAACTTGAAAAAGATCAAGGTCAGTAGACCGTACAGAAGTATTCAGCAGTAGGTGTCAAACAAATGTCAATGCTATGAAGAGCTTGGTACATGCCAGGCCTCCTGGGGAGCATGTAACATGCATTAGCTCATCATCCCCCCCACCCCCCTTCTGAGGTAGGGATACTGTTCTGCAGTGACAGAAACCGAGGCCCAGAAAAGGCCGCCCAGCTAGTAAGTGGCAGAGTCTGGATTCGGACCAGGCTGTTGAATTCCAAAGCCTGGGCATGTGAGCCAAATTGGAACTGTTGATTTTCTACTGTAATCCTGCTCTCCCCGTCTTCCCAGTTAATGTTATCACCACTTGTTCAACCCCAAACCAAGAGGTACCAATGTGGTTCCTCCCTCTTCCTCATTCCGCCACCCCCTTCCATCCAGTCCATTAGCAAGTGACTTCAGTTCCCCCCACTCATCCCCACTATCAGGTGCCACCATCTACTGTCTGGACTGCTGCCGGAATCTCCTGTTTCTGCCTCCCAGCTGTTGTCACGCTTAGGAAGGATGATTTCCTGGTAACCCACTTTCAATTCTTTTGCTTGAGAAAGAAGTCAGGCTCTTCCTAACTTTACTAACTTTTCTCCTTTTTTCAATAAACATGTCTCAAGTATCTCCGTGGGCAGGCACTGCTTTTATATCCTGAGAGACTCATGGACAACCATACGTACAAAAAGGCTGAAGACTTGACAGAAAGAACAAGTATTCAATTGAGTAATACACCGAATTGGAGGGGCTGGGGGACACTTAAGTTCATGATGTGGTATAGACTCCGTATGGATTTATTTCATTTCCTAACTGAGTACCCCTATGGTGGCCTTTGAAACCTGAGGCTTACTTTAAAAAGTCCCCATTATGTGAAGTGTCATGTTCTCCCCGATGTCCCACTCCCCAGCAGTCTGAGGACAGTTTGACTATGGTTTGCCTGAGATTTCATAGACGTAATCACGAACTGGAAAGAGCCATCTCCTGGCAACCTGTGTGAACTCCTGGATACAGCCGTTTCTGAAGTCACCTGAATCCTTGGACTTTTTCGTTGAAGAGTTAATCAAGTCCCTTCTTGGCCCCAGGGCTCTTCAAGGTGGGTTTCTGTCACTTGCCATCAAGAGACCTAAGTAACAGCCTCTCCCTCCAGCCCTCTCCTATCTCTCTCATTGCACCCCCACATTCCATCCAGCTGGCTAACTTGCTCATGGTCTCCCCACCTCCTCCAACTGAGGATATTTATGAAACTATGCAACAGACTGTGAAGGATATTTTAAAAGAGGAATTTCAATGTTTTTATCTTCTCCCACAATATTTTGGGCAATGGCCATATTGTGGATTTTAAGCATTATCTACTTGAAAAGCCAACATCACCCAATGAGGCAAAATGGTTGAGATTTTGGATTCTGGTCTCTGAAATCAAACATGGATCAGCTGTTTTACTTAGAAATTAGGTAATTTCTAAGCCTCCATTCGTTTATGTAATGGGGATAATACTGTGAGGATATGATGGGAGGTGGTGTGGACCTCAATGAGCATAGGTAAAATAGGAAAAAATGTCTAGTAAAAATTAGCTATGTCACTCTACTTTATAATGACACTTTATTTTAAAAAAATGTATTTTATTGATCTTATACAGAGAGGAAGGGAGAGGGATTGAGAGTTAGAAAAATCGATGAGAGAGAAACATAAATCAGCTGCATCCCACTGGGGATGTGCCCACAACCAAGGTACATGCCCTTGACTGGAATCAAACCTGGGACCTTTCAGTCCGCAGGCTGACACTCTATCCACTGAGCCAATCCTGTTAGGGCAATAGTGACACTTTATACAGGTTACACACTGTCTTTTAAGACTTGGACCTTTACTTGCTTTTAAAAGAATTCCTCTATAGTCTCCCTTTATTTTAGCTTCCAGGTAACACTGTTATCTGTAGAAATGGATTCCTGCTTATGTTGGTTACACGAGTTCATGACAAAGGCTTTTGTATAGTAGAGCATTCATCCTAAGTTTTCCAAATAGCACTAACCTCAAGTGAAATATTAAGTAATAAACATGTAGTAAATATTAAAATAGGGCAGTCTTTTACAAAGGCAAAAGAAAACAAAACAAGGACACTCCATTTCTCTAATTAGCAATGCATTAGAGAATCAATAAAGAAGTTTACACTCACAAAATAATAAATAAAAATTATTGGCATAAAATTAGCACCAACACAGTTTCCCTCCAGATTGTTCACTTTTACACTAAGACACCTAATAATACTAAAAATATGATGATCACGACTTACTGATCCTTTTTGTTAAATGATCTCAAAATTTGGTCTACAAAGCCAGTTTGTCACGTGCACAATTCAACAAAACAGGCAAGAAATTCAGTAAAACAAAAGTTATTGTCTCACTCAGATTATTCTAGCAAAAGCAGGTATTGTGTCTCTTTATCTAGGTAAAACTAATCTACAGATAAATATACAACAGGTGGATATAACTTAAATCCATGAAAAACTTTAGTCCCTTAAAGCAACTTATCCCTAGTTTACTGACCATTATCCTAATTCTGGCATAGTTTACAAATAAGATGTAATATGTGTGTGTGTGTGTGTGTGTGTGTGTGTGTGTGTGTGTGTGTGTGTATAGCAAATCCCAGTGTCCTGGCCTTATCCAAACAGGACGTTTTCGAGTCCCTAAAGCGAGATCCCCTTTTCTCAAAAAGAGAAAAGCAAAGCTTATTTTGTTCTGACCTCCTGACCATGTCGTGGGCGCCAGGCGACCGTCAGCCGTGAGCTGCTGCGCCCTCGGCCGGTGAATGCCACACCAGAGGCAGGGGGCGCCCTTCCCCAGGGGGCACGAGCCGCCTCACCTGCTCTGGGAGGGCCGGATGCGCTTCCCCGAAGCTCCCACCATCAGCCCCAAAGCCTTTAAACTTGAAACGCGAGACCTTGAGAATAGCCATCATCTGTTTGCTGCGACTACACAATTAGCCGATCAAACGCCGAGGAGACCCCCGAAAAGGTTCCCCAACGAGCTCGTAGACCCGCTTCCGCAGGAACCGGTGGACCTATTGTCCGCCCCCTGCACAAGGGCGCCTCCGAGAACGGGAAAGGCTGGGGCGTCCTTGGGTAGCTCAACAGGTACCGCGCACTCCTACAGGTGCGCCGCCGCCGCCGCAAAACCTGGGGGAGGGGGGGTGCAAGGACCGGGCGATTCCTTCAACAGGGGGCAAGTGGGAGCCAGCCGGAGCCTCAGTTTCCCCCCGAGACCTCGCCAGGCACCTCCAGGCCGGCCTCGTGCGCTCGGCACCAGACGCGCAGAACTTTCCCCACCAGCAGATCCCCAACTTGGAGACTCCCGCAGGGCAGCGCGCCCCCCCCCACGCCCACCCCTATCCCGGGGCCGCGGCCGGCACCCCGCCACCCCTCCTCACTCACCCGTCGGGACTTCGCTGTCCACCACGGCCTTGAGCAGCGCGAGCGCCAGCAGCGCCCCCACGAGGAACACGGCCCAGCCACCGCGCGAGCCGAGCCCCATTGTTCTCCGGGCGGGACGCGACGGCCTCGAGGGTCCCCGGCTGAGGCGGATGGAGGCTGCTCCGGCGAGGACCGCCCCACAGCACGCGAGCCGGTCCTCTCGTCCTCTTCCGCCGCGCACGCCTCCCTCCGCCACCTGCCCCCCAAACACCAAATAGGGCGCCGCCGCGGGAGCCGGGCTGGAGCGCGCGCTGCGTGTGGAGCCCAGGCGTTGGGACGGGGGCGGGGCCTGGGCGAGGGCGGGGCCTCGGGTCTCGGGGCGGGGCTGGAGCGCGCGCTGCGTGTGGAGCTCAGGCATTGGGACGGGGCGGGGCCTCAGGGAGTTGGGGCGGGGCCTTGTGTGGGGGCGGGGCTTGCGGTGTTCGACGCCTGGACTCCTTCCCACCCCGCTCTCTGATGTGCGCCTTTGAGCCCGAAACGCTCGAGCAAGTTTCCTTTGTTTTCGGAAATGGCAGTTTTGTTCTCCCCGATAAAAGCGAGCGCCGCGGCCCCTCCGGATGCAGAGCACGCCGGGCTTCGCTGAGTCCGGAAGGATATCTTTGAAGAGCAGCTTTCGCGTGAAGTTGGGGGAGTGAAGGGGGAGGGAGGGATGCGAGGGCAGCTGCAAAGCAAGGAGGTGAAGGGAGAGACTCAGAGTGGATGGCATTGCATTCCCTCTGCGAGGACCTGGCTGTCCGCGCTCTTCTTTCTTGACCCAGCGTAAGTTGGGAAGGGAAAGGGAGGAATGGTGATACACAAATTCATTGCTTACTTCATATATAAAACGCATGATCTCTATACCCCAAATTGTACGCCATCCTCTTCCACAGGTTCCCTGCACTTGCTGTGTCGTCGCAAAAAGAGAGGAGTGGAGTGGGCAGGGATGAGGGGAACAGCAGAGCTGGTGGCGTTTCGTAGGCCACCAAGGCTGAGGTTGCACAAATCTAACCAAGTCTCCTCGCCTCGGTGTCAGCTGACCCAGTTCAGGTGGAACAACGTGCCCGGAATAGTTTCTGGTTAAGCCCTTGGTGCCAATTCTCCTCACCTGTTTTGACTTGCAATGCTTCTAAAATCTGCATCTTGTTTCCGCTCAGAATTGTGAATGGGCCTGTAGCAACCTTGGCGGATACAGGAGAGAGACCAAGACTGAGCCCTGGTTTGGGACTCCGCTGAGATTAAAGACAAAAGGAACCAGGGCACTTAAAATCAAGGAAAACCCCTCACATGCACAGCTCTAAATGCTGTTGATCTTTGGTATCTGACCCCGATTTTATGACATAAAGGCCACGTTGCATCGCAATTCCCAAAAAATGTGTTATGAGAGACAGTACGTTCTGCACTGAGGCAAGTCTATCAATATGGAGATGGCCCGTCATAGAGATTAACTTGGGCAATTTATCCTAAATTTATAAACTTCCACCTGTTGATTCAACCAAGCCTGTAAACACTCCCTGGCATCCACCATAGGCAAAAAGCAATTACTGCACACTTAACTTTTGGTCACCCATTTCATTGGGGGTTTGGTTTAAGAATAAATTGTCCTAGTGACTGCTTACCACATTGTCCAAGCCTTTCACAATCCAGGCTCCCATGGTCTGCCCAGCCTTGGTTTGACTGCCCACAGACAACGGTGCTTCCTGGCATTGGCACACACTGTTTTCTCTTTCTGAAAAGCCCTCCTCCTTTTCCATTCTCTTCACCAATCCAAATTTAGCACTTCCTGTAGGGCTCAGTGTACATCTGTCTGGGATCTGGAGTGGAATATGAGATGCCCGCAGAAGTAAAATGAGAAAGTATGGCGGACAAGATGTCTACTTGACAATTTCTCCTGGGACTCACCACGATGGGGAAGCTCTCAGACCCTCTCTGCTGTCTGATTTGTGTACCCCAGATAGGAGTGGGTGTGCCCAGCTTCACTTTGATAAAATCCGGGAGACCTGTGGGTTGGTCATTTTGCTCAAGTCTGAGGAGAGGTGAAAAGGACAAGGAACTGTGTCCTTTCTGCCCTCTTAGGAACTCCAGTGAGAGGCCAGACCTCCCCCCGGGGAAAATCTAGCCTTAGTTCTGTCTCAGGCTCTGTCCACATCACTGTAACAACACTTTTCTTTGGTGACAGGAAAGGCTAAAAAAGCAGCATGGAAGCCCTTGGCAGTCTGGCTGTCCCCTGCTTTTCCAGCCTCGTGTCTAGATCCCTCTCTAACCTCCCCAGGCTACTGCAAGTTCTGCAAAGATGCCAGGGCTTTCCATGCTTCTGTGTCTGCTCCTCTTCTTCCCTTTGTCCCAGAGGCCTTCTGACCTCTTCTCCTGGGCAATTTTCACTCATTTCCCAAGACCTCTCTCTTATATTATCTTCTCCCCACGTGGGCAGATCAATATATATATAAAATTGATTTCAGAGAAGAAGGGAGAGGGAGACATCAGTGATGAGAGAATCATTGATCGGCTGCCGCCTGCATGTCCCCCACTGATCAAGCCTGCCGTGCCAGCGAAGGATGTAGAAAAGACAAAGAGAATAAGCTGGGTCTAGGTCAGTGGTCAGCAAACTCATTAGTCAACAGTCAAATATCAACAGTACGATTGAAATTTCTTTTGAGAGCCAAATTTTTTAAATTTAAACTTCCTCTAATGCCACTTCTTCAAAATAGACTCGCCCAGGCTGTCATATTCTGTGGAAGAGCCACACTCAAGGGGCCAAAGAGCTGCGTGTGGCTTGAGAGCCACAGTTTGCCGACAACGGGTCTAGGTGGATCTTCCTGTGATTGGCTGAGGCCACAGAGAAAAGGTCCGGGCAGCAAGCTGATGCTTTATTTTATAGTCAGAGGTAAACAAGGTAGTGGTCACCATAGTTACAATGTTCTTGTGAGTTTCACTTGTTTTGGCAGCACTTGCTGCACCTCCCACAGCCCGGTAACTACTTAGGAAGAATCTAGGGAGCAGCATAAGGTCAAGCTTAATTATGCTAAGAGGGCTGTGCCCTCTAAGCTGGGACTTGTTTGTGGCTTTGCCAACAGGTCCGAGGCTTAACCCTATAGCCGCTTCCTGCACACAACCTGGGCATGTGCCCTGACCGAGAATCCAACTGTGACCTCCTAATCCATAGGTCGATGCTCAACCACTGAGCCACACCAGCCGGGACACCTGGGCAGATTTTTGTGCTCTAATCTCTCAGCTCATACTTTGGTCAGTTTGGTCTCCCTGCTCCCACCTGCTTTCCTTCTACTCTGTTCTTCACACAGCAGCAGTGTGATCCTTCTACAAACGTCAGATCAGGCCATTCCCCTGCCACCTTTCCAAGTCCAAAGCCAGGGTTTGTGTCTTCACGGCCTGCACAGGCCTACAGGACATGGTCCTCGGCTGCTGATCCGTTTCCATCCCAGAGCCTTGGTGCTTGCTGCTCCCTTGCATCATTTAGGTCTCTGCTCGTCTCAGAAAAGCTTTCCTTGAATACCCTACCTCAGAGCTTTACTTGTCTTTGTAGCAACTAGTGCTACCCATCATTATGCTTGCTTATATTTATTGTTTGTCTCTCCTACAAGGGTATAAGTTCCAGGAGCATAAAAACCTATGCCTGAATGCACAACTCGGGTTTAGCTTGTATCACAGATTGCTATGGGACAGTGGACATCTGTCGTATCTTTGGATACCCACCGTCTTTTGAACAGCTTTCCTTTATTTAGAACTAAAGTGTCCCCAGCCCCTAAACAATGTGACTGAGGCTCTGCCAGTGAGGCTCCCTCATGTGAAACTTAAATGCAGGTATGAGCAACCAGAGGGAACAGGCTCAGGGTGGCACTTCCAGTTCTTCTGAAATGAGTAACCGCAGAGTTCGCTGGCGCTGGCTGCAGCAACGGTGTTTCTCTGTGGTCGCAAGACTGGGTTGCCGATGCAGAAGTGGCATTGGTAGGGAGCTGCAATGGAGATAGTTTCCCCACTGGACTCATTCTGCAGTGGTTTGCTTGTTTGTTTTGCATTATTCTTGGAGGCTTAGCTTTAGTCATGATTCTCTACACCCTCCAACAATTCTAAGAGCTACCCAGGATTTTCAACATACTACTTTTCTACTACATCAGCAAGAGTCAGCTTTTTGCCAAAACCGGTTTGGCTCAGTGGATAGAGAGTCAGCTTGCGGACTGAAGGGTCCTGGGTTCGATTCTGGTCAAGGGCAGGTACCTTGGCAAGAGGCAGCTGATCGATGATTCTCTCTCATAGATATTTCTAACTATCCCTCTCTCTTCCTCTCTGTAAAAAAAAATCAATAAAATATACATTTTAAAAAAAAGAGTCAGCTTTTCTTTCTCACAACTAAGGATCCTGACTTTATATAGCTCACTGTCTTTCCCTCCAGGAGGCGACAATCTCCATTAGGTGATTTGCTGTTATTGAGTGCTTGCTATGTGGTGGAAAATGTCCTCACAGAGCTCACAGTCTAGAGGCAAGACACTTACAGTCCAGTGTGAGAGACGCTAAGATGTGATTATGGAAAAGCACACATCGGGGCCAGGATCTGGGTCTCCAGGTTTGTATTCGAGGGTCTATACTTCCCACCATATTGAAATAATTTTCTCTAAATTTGGATGGAGATAAACAGAACAGAAAACTTCTGGTACTCTACTCCCTTAACAATGTTCTCTTTTCATCTGTCCTATATTTCCCATTTATATGTGTCTTTGACTTAAGGTCAACTGAGGGTAGATCAAAGATTAGAACCATGACTCATTCATTCATTCATTCAACCAGTCAATATCTAAAAATTTATTAAACACATGACATGTACCAGGTATTATGCTAGTTGCTAGGAATAAGACAGATCTATTTGCCTCATAACATGGCAAACCCCAGTGAGTGTTTTAAAAATCAGTTGGTTTCTAGAGAATTGCAGAAGCAGCTTCTGATAGGATTGTACAAAAGATACTGAGATTTCATCTTTTCCCACTTCTACCTCATAGTAAATTTTAATTCATTTAGAAAGAAAGAGGTGATAGGGGAAGGCCCATATGGCTTGATGTCCACAGCTGGATATAA